GAGGATAAATGAAGTAATAATACTCGTAGCAAAGTTTAACTAAATATGCTAAAAAATTTCTAAAATAGAAAGATATGAAAATAAACGGAAAGTAGGTAATCTTAAAGAATAGAAAAATTGAACTTTTATGTTTCCATAAACTTTAAGGATGATATATTAGGGATTGTAAGGATTACTACATTTAAAGGATATTTAATAAGATATGTAATAATTTGTTGTATCTTATGCCCAATTTTTATAAAATTTAGCGTCAGTTTTTTTTGGTTCTTTCCTAAAAGAAAAATAGCTTGTAGTCTATAATTTTGACTGGAAGCCAGGCAAGTCCATTTGTCTCAATTTAAGATCTTTTTCATGCCGGCAATATTCCTTTATCATTGTCAGTATTTCTATTAAAAAAGTCCGCGCACGATTATTGAGCTATTACTCTAACAAGGTAAATACATGTTAAGGCGTCGTCATTAAGATTGAAGATAGCACCGAGGTTGTATTTTTGCTAGGATAGGTTACAAGAAGAGTGCCTCGCGAAGCGACTCGAAAAGGGTCTCTCGATGATTTACATTTCTAATCGCAAGAAAGTGAATTACAGGCGCATAACTCATGCAATGGTCATCCGGTAGCCTTTGCACAAACCATCGGGATTCTTGCATGCGAGCCACTTGCGGCCATGAGCCAGGCACCAGCAGCGACGAGCTGGTTTCGCCATTGCCGCAGGAAGGAATAATTCAAGGGACGACATGGATGGACTTCCTTCATTTCGTGGAAACGAGACGTGTGCGTGAGAAACGTGACAGCGACGCCACATAAAAACAACACTTTTTAGTCGAGGGGAATAATAGCTATAATGACAATAATTAGCAGCAAATTTTATTATTACCAGTCATTATGCTCACTCTTCTTTTTGGTCGGTGTGTTTACGAAGAAACTTCTTACTGTTGAATTAGAATAAACAATTTTTTTGCTAATTGTGTGTTACCAAATCCAAGAAAGATATTTTCGCTTGTTGCAGCAGCAGCACGAGCAGTACATTGGCCCGGCGTACGATCCATCCCGCGACCTATCGCCGAACTTGCCGTCGTGCGACTCGTCAATGGGGGACGCCGATCCTTCGGTCTCCAGCGGCAGTTCTTGCAGCACCCCCTCGAACAACAACCACCAGTCGTGCGGGTCGGACACGTGTCGGCCGCCACCCCCGGCTCTGAATCAGCCGCCGCCGCCACCGGGAGAGCTGTGTCGTCCGCACTCTTCTTTCGAGCACCACATACCGAAGCTCGAGCCGCTCCAGACGCCGGGGACGCCGCCAACGCCGCCACCAAGTTGCGCCGAGGACGGCAGTGGGGCCGTTTGTGCGGGCTGTGGAATGAGGATCACCGACAGGTTCTATCTGCAGGCGGTCGACAGGAGGTGGCACGCGTCGTGTCTGCAGTGCTGCCAGTGCAGGAACACGCTAGATGGGGAAATCACATGCTTCTCCAGGGACGGGAATATCTACTGCAAGAAGGACTACTATAGGTGAGCTTTTAGAAAAATATTAGAAAAACACTACAAAAATAAGAAAAAAGCCAATAAAAGAACTGTAGCAGTTTTAAAAATTAAATCTATAGTGTGAGTATTTTAAGAATCAAGTAGGGTAATGTATCAGAGTAGATTTTTCACTCGCCCAATTTTTTTCATTATGCAAATGAAATTGACACAAACGCAACCACTAAGACTTTGTTGAGAAATGATAAAATAAAGCTTTGGGTGAATCAGACGTGTCAGGTGGTACACAAAACACCAATGAGATTGCAGGATTTTAGTCCCTATCTCTTCGAATGCTTCATTCTAAAGATAGACAAATCATACATATTCTATTTTTTTCTACTTATTTTTCTACTTTAGTAAAAATTTGAAAATATATTTTTAGGCCAAAAGCAATCTAAAATTGCCAGTGTTTTGTTAATTTTACATCAAATTTGAGACCAAAAGTAATAGAAATAGTCATTTGTATTTTTTTGAAATTTATAACCATCTAAAGTGTAAGTTATTCAAGTAACAGGATAGAAAGTAAATCAGTAAGCAATAAGCACGTGAGTATAAATATATGTTAAGTATGTAAAACATATAAAATACCTAGTCCTGGGGCAAAGTTTACATGTTTTACCCTTTTCCTTAACAAGTCATGTTTCACTTTGGATTCGAAAGTGGTATAAGCGAGATTTGTATTATTTATTGTTTTTTTTTAACTGGTCTTAAGGAAATTTTAAAGTAATTTTAGTAGTAATTGTTTTAGTTGGTTTTTATTTTATATTTTTAGTAGTAATTTAGTTATTTTAGGTACAAGTACTTAAAATACAAATTTTGCGGACGAATCGTTGCAAATAAGTGCGCAAAAACGTTTTAGGTACGTGTTACAAACAATATTTTTTGACTCAATTGACTTTTAGAAACTGAAATGAGTCCCTAAAACAGCTACTTTCGGAAGCGTATACAAAAAAATTGTTTTCTCTGTGTAAGTCCTATATTTTTGCCTAAAGTTTATTTGGATACATACTTTTTACAATAGACTTACACTTTAAATTGCGAAAAATAAAAAGAGTAGCTGAAAAAAATAGTTATTTTTGTTTCCTAAAACACAGTTTTTGCGGACGAATCGTTGCTGTTTTCGGACGAGGTGAAACCGAGTCTAGAATAGCAGATGAGTCCGCAAAAACGTTTTATGTACGTATTACAAAAAGATTTTTTTTGTTAAAGTTCCCAAAACACGAATTAATTAAAAAAAATTGCCATCATAGTAACCAATTTTCTTTTTAGTCACTGTTTTTGGGGACTGAGTACCTAAAATAACCATTTTGCGTACTATTTTATTGAGTCTGGAAAAGACTCATTTTAGGGACTCAAATGAGTTCCTAAAACATCTGTTTTCGGGAGCGTATACAAAAAAATAAATTTGAAAATTGGTTTTAAGCAAAGGAAACTGTTTAGAAATAAATCATCATTATAATAAACAGTAAAAATACAATGATGTTATAAATAAAAAAGAAAAACTATGTTTTACAAAAGAGAACGTTCCTACTTATGGAAATATAACGACCACTTAAATCTAGATTTTTTTGTATCAATCGATAGCTTTTGAAATAAGGAGCAATTCGTATCATTCCGCCAACATATTAGCCAAATTTCTCAAAAATAATGTCATATTTCTTGTCATAATATAATAAAAATTGAACCACTAATCAAAAGAACCAGTGGAAATGTTATAGGTAAACAAAACAGATTAGATTAGAAGTAGAAGTAGAAAATAGAATAAAACAAACATTTTAAAAACTACTGTAAAACGCGATTAACAACCAAATAGTAGTTATTTGCGTAATGAGGGAAAAAAGTAATTTTTTCTTCTCAAAAGTGCTGTTTTTAAAGCACTTAAAGGAAGAAATTTATTCTAACATTAACGACATGCCGTTAAAATTAAGATTCCAATTTTAAAATATAAGTTTTTGAGGGAAAAAAAAGTACTCTCTGAGAAGAAAAATTTACACTTAGAAAAGAAAAATTTACACTTAGAAAAGAAAAAAAATCTTTTAGTACTAAAAGAAATACTAAATATTATGAATACTAAAAGAAATGACATACATACTTCTTCTATCTTCTAGTTTGGGGGAGCCAAATTTTAGTTGATAATGGAATAGTAATAGAAAATATAATAATCATAAAATAAAATGTTAAGTTTTGAAATTAGTTTGCAACTTAAATTTTTCTTGTTTAGCACTAGTTTAATCTGAACTATCTAGAAAAATCTTAATTTCACAGTGGTGCAAAATTGTTAGTTTACAAAGCTTTTTTAACTTCTGGTTATAGAAACATAAAAAGTACTAATTAGTTTAGTTGCAAATAGTTTCGAAATGCTAGAAAGGCTAAGTATCATTAAAACAAATGTTTATTTTCTTTTATATGTATTTATTTAGTTAGAAAATGGCACACGCGCCATAAACACCGAATAGAATTTTGTCTAGTGTACATATTTACACTCATTTTATAACTATTTACATTGGCTCTGACAAGTAATCCGCTTTTAAAAGGGTCTAATGGTTCTAGTTAGCTAAAGGTAATAAAACCGGAGTCTCGCATCTTCATTTGCAAACATTAAAGTTGGCAAAAACAATGAATAACACAACAATTAACAACAAAAATAATCAGAAGCATTTAAATGCCTTTTTATCGTTGCATTTTCATTAGATAAAAGCCTTTTTAAAATAGTGGTGAAGTGGCAAATTATTGTCTTGTTTTTGTGACGGTAAATGGTTTCGTAATGGTTTGGCCCTGGAAGTCATGGTTGACATTTTTGTGGCTCAAATTTTATTACCCTCATAAGAAACGTATTACCTGGTTAGGATATAGTGGCCATAAACCATTTTAATAGTTTTTCTATACATAAATGCCAAAAACCGCTTTCGTTTTATTCCCAGCAGGAATCTTTTGTCTTGTTTTTAATTGCAAATCATTACTTTGTAATTCCGTGTAATTTTCTGGAATGATCGCAAATCAGGATTTTTTTGGGGATACAAGTGTTAGCAGGACTCCGTTGCGTGGCTGGTTTCTGCGCCGTAAATCATTCCGTCAGATGTTTAGCATACCGAAGAGCGCGGCAGTGAACGGTAGTGAAAGAGGTTGGCGCACGGGCATTAATATGCCTCGTTATGCAATTAATCAGGGAGTCATATTAAACAGTAGCGACGCGTATTCTTCGAATGCCCAGACTGAGTGTTATTCAACCGGCAACGGCCGGTATGTACTGAGATTGTTTAAAAACATTTCGTTGATGCGAAAACGGCTTGGCGGAAGCTCCGCTCCGGAGGCATATTTGACGGAATTTGCCCGAGTCTGGGGTTTTCACACGGAGGCATCGACCACCGTAAATAATAACTTAATCTGTGGATTCGGCCTCTGCGATGGAATCTCAATAGCGCTGCCGTTGAAACGTAATTATTAAAAGTGGAGGAATGAAACACAAAGTATGTGAGACAAAAAAGCGAAATACAGAGTGGTTATATAGATCATGTTAATATCCTTATACGCAGGTGCAACATTTCCAACAGTCAACAGCGGATAAAAGCAATAACAAAAACTTGTTACACGCATTTATATTCCAACTAATTTATTGCGAAACTTTCATATTTCTGCCAGAACACGCAAAAGTGCGCTTGCTTTAATTGCTTGCAATTTTTGTTCATTGACATGGGTTGTTCTATGGTAATAAATGGTTACACACATGTTGGTTTTTAGGTGGGCTTGTTGGCTAACCACAGGTTGTAGTTTGGGATTGATGATGAATCATTTCGTATACGTGTATCACTTTAATTGTGTCTTGTCTATTGAAGGCAGACGAATGAGAACAGCAACCGCACACAAGGGTTGCCCCAGGGAGGCGGCGTGACTCCTGCTCGCTTCATCCTACAAGCAAAACCGTGTTTCGAAATTTTTTTGTTGAAATTGGAGCAGTATTCCGCTTCGGGTGCTTGAAACGACGGAAGAAAAATGATGGAAATTGATGTCTTATTAAATCGACTTTAATAAATCGCCAGCGTAGAGAAAATACACAGGAATTAGTTTTCTTGCAAATAAATTACCGCAAATTAGTTTGTTTAACTTGTTGTGGTCGGGCAAATCCTCTCGGATTTCCAAATGTTTTGTAGATGTTGGGACAACCGCTCTCCCCTCATACCATCTGATTCGAAAAAAAATCGAAATTGTCGGGGGCTTCGCCCTTGGGTATAACTCATGGTGCCTGATCCGTAATGTTTTGTCAAAAGTCGCCCCCGTGTAACTTCAAACTATTGGATTCGCAAATGTTTTTTTAGAAATTCTGGGGGCTCACACTATCGAAGTTGCAAATGTTTTATTCATTTAAAACTGTACTTTGTAGGTATATTTACTAGTAAATGTGGTTAAATCCGATCGGATTTAATTAAGAGTTTAATTTTTATTTAGTAAAGTGTCTTTTAGATTGTAAAAAATAATGTTTGGATCACTTCGAGTAGCTTCAGGTCGGTTCAGGTATCTTTAGGCCACTTCGGGTTACTTCGGATTACTTTGGCTTGAAGTAAAAAGAAAGTGTTCAAATGTACTGACTTTTTGATTTTCAAAAGAAGAAAAATTCTTAAGGAAATTTTTAAATTTAGTAGTAAAAATGCCAATCGAAACGTTTCAAAACATCGTGCTACAAAAGACAGTTGGGGAGACTAAGAAAGTGTCAGATGTAGTGGATTAAAAAATTTTTAGACTTGCAAAAAAACATTTAAAAATTTCTTAAAGAAATGCTTAAATTTAAAAAAATGTCATTTGAGACGTTTCAAAACATCGTGCTACAAAAGACAGTTGGGAAAACTAAGAAAGTGTCTGATGTACTGGATTAAAAAAGTTCTAGACTTGCAAAAAAACATCTAAAACGTCTGACTTGTAAACTTCCGTAACCTCAATTTTTAGATTTTCCATAAATAGAAAAATAGACCTTATAGATACCTACTTTAATACGT